GACACGGGGAGGAAAGGAAAGGGGGAGGGCGGGGGGCCCGGGGAGGGAGGCAGAGAGGACGGGGGGGAGAGGAGCCCCCCCAACTCATCCTCCGCCCCCGGGCTTGTCCTCAGGGACCGCTTTGAGCTGTTCTAATCTCAGCCCGCTGCTCCCGTCCACCCCCCAACCCACCCCCCACGCTGCTCCAGGTCCCTCCTGCTGCTCCCATTGCCCCCCCCCACCCCGCTGCTCGTCCCTCCCGCTCACCCAGCACAGCCGCTGCCTCAGGCCACACCGCTGCGCTTTGCTGCGGAGTCTAGAGGTTCAGCCTGCGAGCCCCGGTAGCCGGGCGCAGACCCCAGCACCGCTCACGCGCTGGCCGTGCCCCCTGGAGGGTGGACAGGCCTGGGTGCCCAGGAGCCCGAGCGCCATGAGGGCATTTCCGTGGCCACGGGTGGCACCAGCCTGTCCACCCAGGCGTAGACACACCCCTTCCGGGACCCCCCCCCCACGCCGGGGGGCAGGACGGAGCTGCTGCCTGCACCGCCCGGGACGAGGCTCGTGCTGCCCAGCAGCGTCCTCCTCCTGCCCTGCGCCTGGGCTGGGCCGCCGGCCTGCGCAGCGGCGAGGGGACGGCATTTATGGGAGATCCCCGGGTTGGGATCACCTTCCTTCGCGCCTTCCCACTGCACCCAGCGACAGCCACGAGGCTCCACATCTCAGTCCCGATCCTCTGCCCTCCGCACCGACATGCAGCCCCGGGGCCCTCGGCGGCCCCCGCCCCCGCCAGGCAGGCCCCCGTGCCCAGCACAGGCCTGAGCCAGCAGGCGGCGATGCGGCCTGTGGCGGGGCAGCCCACGGCCGCCGAGGAGACAGGCCAGGGGCACCAGAGACGCCCCCACAAGGGCACCCAGGGGCAAGGCGGGGGTTGGCTGGCAGTGGGGGTGTGCCCCAGGGCAACCCCACTCACCTGACTGGAGCCCCTCACCCCATCCAGCGGGGAGTTGAGTTCCCCCCCCCCCCGCCAGCCCCGCCGAGACCGCGGCGGCCACACCCCGGCGGGGCCCATCCTGCAGTGGAGTCGGGCCGGACCGCGCGGGTGTGCGACGGGACACACGAGCCTGTGAGCCAGACCCCCGGCCGGGGCAGTGAGATCCGTGCGCGAGGCCCGCGGCGGCACAGCCGGGCAGCTCCAAGGCGTGGGGCTCAAAACCTCACAGGTGGGACCGGATGGGCGGCCCCTGCCCAGAGAGGCAGCCGAGAGGCGCCGCCAGGCCAGCCGGCACGGGCCGGGAGCCGGCCAGCCCCGGGGCAGCGGCGCCCGAGCGCGAGTCCGGGCCTGGGCTGTGGGGCCGCGGCCGCGCCAGGGTCCTCCCGGTCCGGGGGCGCCGCGGGGCGGGGGAGCGGGCGGCCGAGCCGGAACCGGAAAGGAGGAGCCAGGCGGAAATCTAACAACCGGAGAACAGCAAGTCCAGGGTCACGCCAGAAGCCACGGGAGGCGGCAGTGGGAGGAAGCCGGTAACGGGTCAGAGACCCCCAGGCAGCCCCCGAGGGCCTGTGGCCGGGGCGGGCGCACCGCCTGGGGACGGGACCTCGTGGCGACGCTGCCGACACCGGGTCAGGACACCCGGCCGGGCAGCCGGGACCCGGCGCAGGTGACGGGCGGAGCAGCCCTTCCGCACGCACGCGGGGGTCTCGCGCGACACGAGGCCAGATCCGGAGAAGACAAAGGCCGCGCGGCCGCAGCAAACACGGAAGCATCAGCTCCGCGGAGGCTCCTGCTAAGACAATTAAAAATCAAGTCACACTCCGGCACAAATAACTGGGTCTCCAGGCGCAGCCGGGCTGGGCGGCCTGAGTCCGGAGGAGGCGGGTGCAGGGCATGGACACGGGGCGCCCAGCGGGCAGCTGCGGCAGAACCGGGCCCAGCGTGGACTCCAGCCCCGTCTCCGCCCCTTGCCTCTGCGCCTGGCCCATCGCCCTCGCTCCATCCAGCCTCGGGGCCAGTGGCAGCCGAGTGGCTCCCACTGGGGAGCCCCACAGGGAGCCCCGTGACCACACAATGGCGACATCACTGCCTCCTGGCCCGAGCCCCTTCTGAGCCTCATCTCCTCCGACCGCGAGTGTGGCAGGGGTGGGCGCCGCAAAGGGCTGTTCTCTCCAGGCGCTGCCGGCTGACCCGTCTGACGGGGGCGCGGAGGCGGAGACGCCCGGGGCGGCGCCAAGGCCAGACCCCACGCGGCCGGGCCCGGAGGCATCTGTGCGCGCACGGCTATTTCACGGCTATTTCCCTCTGGCCACGGCCACCCCTGGGACCCTACCAGGGCCGTCAGCCGGGGCGCGGCAAGCGCAGTCCCAACAGCACAACACGCGGCATCCAGGCGACTCCCGTCACCGCTTATTAGGCAGAAAGACCCAACAGGGTGTAAGTTATTAGGCAATAACTCAGCCTCGAAGCAATTTTAGACACCAAAGCGGAAGGATTCGTCATTATCACATATTCAGTTCTATTTTTCCTTTTTCATGCTATAAAAAATAACGTCTAAATCTCCTAAAACCATCACAACTACATCAAAAGTGGATTGGGCCATCAAGCTCGACAGTTTGAAATAAAACAGCTGGTAAGCAGGAAAGCGCTGCACTTCGGGTTTGGGGCGGGCGCTGGGCCGGTGACAGACTCTCCGCTCTCACTGCTGCTTCCAAGGAAGCCATAGAAGCCGCAGCAGCAGGCGGCAGCCAGGACAGGCCTGCGCAGGCCCCGGGAGGGCTCCAGACCACGGCTCGTGGGAGCTGAGCGTCCACATGGGGGACCCGCGTGCTCACCTGCCAGCAGCAAGCCCACCCCTGGCGAGCAGGGGGTGGAAAGAAACCAGTGATGTACCCGAAGGGGTTGAGACTCACGCACATGGAGACAGGCACACGGTGCCCACAGCAGCTGTTCTCAAAACCACCCGATTTACAAGCAGCCAAGATGTCTCTTGCAGGGGAGCGGATAATAAGCGGTGGAATACTACACAGCGCCAAAAAGGAAACCAGCTCTCCAATCCTGACATGACGTGCAGGAACCATACACACAGGCTCAGTGACAGACGCCAGTCCTGCACCGCCATGTACTGCAGGGCTCCAAATCTCTGACTTTCTGGAAAAGGCAAGACCGTGGGGACAGTGAGAGGTGAGGGCTTGGTGGGGCGGGAGTGACGGGGGCAACAGGGAAGTTTTAAGGTCGTGGCAGGGACGAGGTGTGGCAGGGGTGGGGCCTCGGGCAGGGGCAGGGACTGGAAGCCCTAGGCTTCCCCAGCTGTGCTTGCGGCTCCGGCTCGCCTTCCTCACGGGCTCACAGGACCTCCAGCGTGGTTCTCGATGGCCCATCCTGCTGACCACCAGGCATTTTATCTTGAGACGAATGACGAAAAGCTTTGGGGAATTTATTGAGATCTGCCACAGGGAAACATTATGAACGCCAAGGAAACGGTGAACCCAGTTCTAGAAAACCCGCAGAGGTGGGGGGATCAGCCTCGAGAAGGTACGGTCAGCAGAATCCACGACACAGTTCAGCGTCCCTAGATCGAAGCTGGGCAGACGCCCACGCACCATCCACTGCCCTGACCACCGCGGGGCCTGGGGCGTCAGCCCGCCCGCGAGCAGCGCTCAGCCGAGGTGGCAAGACAGCAAACTGGGCTTTGCGATTCGCTGATCAAGCCACAGCTTATTTCATCTCATTTGGGGTCACTCTGGCGAAGAGTTTCCGTCTATGTTCACCCGCCCCCCATCTGCTGGAGAGACGCAGGGCCCCTGCAGGGTGTGCGCGGGGGCGGGCAGGTGACCACAGAGGGGGCAGACTGTGAGCGCTACTTCCCGCCCTAAAGAATGTTCTAGACACGCAGCAGAGAGGAAACGACTGCCTCCCCTCCCAGACCCGTGGGCTCCCGTGCCGGCTGAGCGCCGTGGGTCAGGGCATAGGGTCAGGGTCACCAGCGCATCGGCGGCCACCTGGGCTCCCAGAGACCACCCAGGGTGCGCTGGGTGGGGGGAGGGGGACCGGGACCAGAGGCCACGGGAGGGATGGCAGGAGCCCACGGGGCCACGCATCCACAGCCCCAGCTACAGGGCCCCGGCACCCAGCCTGCGCCTGGCTGTCCAGCCGTCCTGCCCCAGGCCTGCGTCTGCACTCCTCACTGCTCGCTCTGCTGCTGCTGCTGCTGCGTCTTTGCCGACCCCCTTTTTTCTGGAATCTCCATCACTTCCGGTCCTGCCCCCTATGCGCCCCGGCTACAGGGGCTGGGGCCGCCCGACCTCCATCCACAGCAGCCTCCCTGCAGCAGGAGCGTGGGCCCACTGCGTCCCTGCCACGCCGTCCCGGCCTCAACAGCCCCGGCGAGAGTGCATCAGCCCTCCTGCCACCCCGAGGAGCCGGGATGCGGGGCACTCGGGCCTCGCTGGCTGCCCACCATGGTCTCCTGCCCGCAGGCTCAGAGGGGCCTCCCTCTGAGCTCACAGGAAGCCCTCACAGGACAGGCAGCAAGGGGCGAGGCGCATGTAGCCCGGAGCCGCGGGGGCAGCACTGACCAGGGCAGCAAGAGCAGAGGGTGCGGGAAGGCTGGGCCTCTAGAAAGACGCTCTCCTGCGCCCCACCCAGGCCCAGGCACCCGGAGGCTGGCGGGATCCCCGCGGCCCGCCCTGCATCCAGCAGAGCGAGGAGGAGGCCAGGGCTCTCGAAAGCACGTCCAGGGCAGCCTCCGCCCGCTGCTGGCCGTGCAGGACGGACCCTCCCAGGCAGAAGGGGACTCGCGGCCCTGCTGGGCGGCTCCCCCCGTCACCCCCCCACCCCGTGAAGGTGAGGCCGCTGCCCCGCGGGGGTGCCCAGGGTCTGGCCCAGAAAGTGCTGGGCGGCGCTGGCACTGGGACAAGGAGGATGGCGAGAGGGACCCTGCACAGAGGTGCGGGGCTGGGCAGGGGGCTGGGGCCGCTCCCCAGCACGGCGGGGCGCGCGGGCAGATTCCCAGAGAGCGCCAGGCGTGCACGAGCCTCTGGTCCTTTATTTCACTTTAACCCCCAGAGGCCAGACAGGGCGGGAGCCCGAGCCGGCAGGGCAGGCAGGGAGGGCGCGGTCAGAGCAGGATGTGGTACTTGAGCGCGCGGGGGACCCGGTTGATGACCAGGCGCCCGTCGTAGCTCAGCGAGGCAAAGAGCCAGGGGTCAGCCGAGGACCAGTCGACGGCGTACACGCTGTCCTCGTGCTCCTCGTAGGCGGCGACCACGCTGTCCCGCGGCGGCTCCTGGCTCCTGGAAGGACAGGCGCTGAGCCGGCGCGGGCCGGGCCGGGGGCGGTGGGGCCAGGCCGGGGACCTCCCAGGCCCGGGACCACGCCGGGCGAGTCCTTGGAGGCCTCGGTGACACCGAGCAGCAGGGGCCTTGGGGCCGGGGTGGGTGGGGGGGAGACACCACTGAGTGGGGAGGGGAGGGGCCGGGGGCGAGGACGCCATGGGGCGCGCAGGCTGTGAGGACAGCCGACCCGGCCCCCACGCCCGCCACCAAGCACAGGCCCCTCCCAGTCCTTCCCACGGCGGGGGCTGCTCCTCCCACCTCATGAGGAGCCCACGGCCAGCGGCGCACGCCCTCGGCTCCCTGCTGGACGGCGCGGCCCAGGAGACCCGTCCGGCGCCCCGCTGAGCTCCGGCAGGAGCCTGGCCAAGGCCCACACACAACCCGACCCCGGGGCAGGCCCCCGCCCCGCGCCCACCACAAGCACCGCATGGACCCCGGCTGTTTCCGAGGTGCAGGGGCCAGCGAGCCGCGGCAGGCAGGGAAAGGCCTCCAGCCTGACAGCGGAACCCTCAGCCGAGCAGCTGCCGCACTGGGAATCCCGGACAGCAGAGGGCTCCTCCCAGCCACTCGCAGCAGTGCCCAGCCACACTCCTCTCTGCCCGGGAGTGCAGCCACACACACGTCACCTCCATCCAGGACACCCCCTGGGGACGGTGGGCGCCCGCTGGCACAGATGCCGAGGCCCACCAGCGCGCACAGCGTCCGGGCTCCGTCGGGGCTGCACCTCCCGCACCTGCCAGCGAGGGCCCGTGCAGCCGACCCACACGCGCCAGACCATGGCCGCGGGGCACGCGAGCTCACATGAGCTGTCCTCATGGCCAACGCCACAGACAGCGGCGGTGCAGACACCTCACACGCGGTGGTGCCGACTGGTCACACACACATACACACACACACACGGACATGCATATTGGGGCCACATGAGGCGCGAGCTCGCTGACAAGCCCAGTTTGTCCACCCCCCCCCCCGCACTGTCCCCAGCACCGTGCCCGTCGGCAGGGAGCCCGAGGCTCTTACTTCTCGTCCAGGCGGCGCTCCTCCTGGTCACTCAGGTCGTCGTCGTCCACCAGGTGGCCGAAGGGCTCAGAGGAGATGGACACCATGTTGGAGAGGATGACCCTGCTGTCACTGCTGCCCGTGAGGACCAGCTGGTCGTGCGAGTGGTTGTAGCGGACGTTCCACACCCTGGGGGTGGTGGGAGCAGCTCATCCCAGCTCTGTCTAGCAGAGGGCCGGGCCTCTAGCCCTTTTCTAGTGGGACTTCTTGATGCCACCAGGCACGGGGCTAAGCGGTCTGCTTGGCATCCCACACAGGCTGCTCAAGTCCCAAGGGCAAACCTCCCCCAGCGGCAAAACAGAGACCACCAGCCCGGCAGCAGTCTGGCCCAGGAGCGTGGCCAGCACGCAGGCCCCCCACACGCCCGCCAGGGCACACGGCCCATCGTATGCAGGTGAGACAGCAGAGCAGGACGGCACCCGCGGCCGGGAGGCAGGCGTGCCCACTGCCTGCTGCATCCAGGCCAATGCTGGGTGAGGGTGTTAACACCTGACTGCAGGGACGATGCGGCTCTGGTAAGCGATTCCAAGGTTTCAGGAGCATCGCTGCAGGAGGACCGGCCGGTTCGCCAGGGGAGGGGGCTGGCTGCGCTCTGCCAGGCGTCCCTTGGGTGAGCACAGACAGGCACCCAGCTCTGCGGCTCTTGGCGCATGCACACAGCACCGGACAAGCAGCACACGTGCCTGCACGCGCGCGCACACACGCACACAAGCCTGCGTGCACACGAGTCGTCTGGATGAGGCTGGCCCGGACAGCGCACCCTAGGGCCCGGGACCCGGAAGGGGTCACTGGCAGCGTGTAGGCAGCTTCTCGGGCTCTGCACGGCCCCACCCTGCCCGGCACTGGGGCCACCCCCTACTGGCTGCGCCCGGCAGGCCCCAGCCAGGGCCACAGAGCCGCCGCAGGAACATCCGTGCGCGTTTGCTTTTGTGCATGTGAAACGGCAGTTTCGAGAAAAAATAGGATCTAATGTTTCTCTTCCTTTCCCTGCATTTGCAAATCCAGACACGCGGCTTTGGGACGCGAGTTTCTCCGCAAGCGCAAAGCCGACCGCGGGATGACGGCTGCCCCCCCCGCCCCGTGGGTGCCAGCGGGCGTGCTCCCCGTACCAGTGGGAGTGCTCCTCCAGGGTCTTCACGGGCTCCGTGACGTTGCGGGTGTCCCAGAACTTGACCTTGCAGTCGTCCCCGCAGCTCGCCAGGTAGTACTGCTTGTTGGGGTTGAAGTCCAGGTCCCGCACCAGCTGCCCGTGCGCGTTCTCGATGCAGTAGATCTGGCTGAGGGAGAGACAGCACCCCGCGGGCGGGTTCAGGGGCCCCACCGCGCACACCGCACCTCGCCAGGGCCTGGCCGTGGCATCTGAGCCCCAGGAAGAGGTGCCGTGCGGGGCTGCCACTGCACCTGTCCAGAGCACGTCGGAGACGCCAGAGGCCATGCAGGCAACGCGGCCCGGCCAAGCAGGGCCAGCCTGGACAGGGCCCCCCGGGCGGTAGGCGATGTGGTGGGAGGAGGGAGGACCAAGGTAGAGCACACCTGGCGGAGCAGGGCTGAAACCGGCACCCTCTGTCAGCAGCACCTGCACACACACCTGCACACCCCCACGCATGTGCACACACCTGCACGTGCACACCTGCACCCCTCACACACCTACACACATGCGCACACACACACCCCCCAACCGGAGGCCTGGCTGCACCACACCCCAGCGCTCAGACCATCCGTCTTGTCACAGCATCGCCCCTGACATCACACGCCCGGCAGTGGGGCCATCGTGGAGAGGCTGGGCCTGGCGGGAGACAAAGGCCTCACCCCCGCCACGCTGTCCACTCCTTCAGCCCTGGGAGGGACTTAATTTCTCCAGAAGTCATTTAATTCACTCTTCATGGCTTCCGCAGGGAGCACAGCCGGGCACAGCCGCTGCCTCCACCGCGAAGCAGCCCGAGGCCTCCCTGCTCCCCCGAGACAAGCGCCTCCCCCCTCCTCCTCCCTCCACGCTGGATCTTTCTGGCCCTAAACCAGTTTGAAATCTTGAACTGGTTTTCATAACCTGCATTTCCAATCCTAATATTTTCCCCTAAAATAAGAAGCCCCCAAACAAGACACCATGACATCTCCCGAGGCAAACAGACAAATGCGCAGACTTCTAAACGCAGCAGAGTCCGGGAACGGTAGCCAGCCCCGCGTCTGCCAAGGGTTTGCTGCAGGCTCGGGGAGTCAGGAGCGGGAGTTTTAACACAAAGCACAGAGTGTTCCAGAAGAAACACCCACAGCGCCGGGCTACGTGAAAGCCAGTGTCTGCAGAAGGGGAAGGCGAGGCCCGCTGCTCCCCACGGAGACGACAGCTGGGCAGGGCAGGGGCTGCCCGGCTGGCCACCGTCCTCAGCTCTGGGTCTGGGATGTTGCTCTCTGCAGAGGCCGAAATTCTCCACGCCCTTTAACAGACAGAGTCGCAGAGGGCAGGCCCCAGGGCGGAGGCGGACGCCAGGCAGGGCATGTGTGAGGCCTCTGACCCGAGACCGAGCAGGGGCCGGCAGCCGGCACCGGAGCGAGAGCCCTGGCTCGCCTGTCTCCGGCGGGCTGGGAGCCGAGCCCCACCGCGAGGGCAACAAGCTTCCCACGAATCCATCTGTGCCCCTGAGTGATAAATTGCAGTGAGCTGAGGGGATAAACGGTGTCTGAAAAAAGCCTGCAGGACCCGTTGCCATGACAACTGCCGTGCGCACCATCACTCCTCTGCCTATCAAAACCACACCTGGAACAGAGGTCGCTCCTGCTCGCTCCGTCAGAGCTGCTGCTGCGGCGCGCGGTGACTGGAGTGACAAGCGAGGTGACCCGCCGGGCCGGCTCCCGAAGGCACCGATGCGGCCGAGACCACTCTGGGGCCCACCCGGGGCACCCCGAGGTCCTCAGGCGCCGACTGGGGCTGAGCGTGGGAGCAGCTCCCTCCACGGCTCTACACTAGTCTGGTCTCCATGCCCACCAGAAGCTGCCCAGGAGGGCGTCCACCTGGGTCACTGTCCCGTGAGGACAGGGTTCCCGGGCCAGGTTTGGTTCCCAGCCAAACCCAGGGCTTCCTGCAAAACCCAGGAGCTCCGAGCTCCCGGCCCCCGGACGCCCGGCGTAGCACAGCCTGGGTGAGAGGCGGCCGGGGCGGGGCTGGGGGCGGCCGGGGCGCGGCAGGGACCCACACTGACCTCATGCTGCGGGTGTCCCAGCCCCGCACGGTGGTGTCGCTGGCCGTGGCCACCTGGCTGCAGTTGTGATGGGGGCTCCACCGCCCCGACGTGAACCTCAGCTGTCCCTTCCCCTCCAGGGACGCCGAGCTGGCCAGCTGGGATGGGGAGAAGAAGGCAAAAATAATTGGACGTCCTTCCAGAAAACAAGAGGCTGTCCTCACAGCCTATTACTGAAAATAATCATCAAAAATAATTAGCAAAATCGGGCTTTGTTTCCTGCCCTTAAAAGGCAAGAATTCTTGAACCTTATTGGGAAAAATTATAAAACTGAGAGCAGCAGAAAATAGGAGGCCTATTAATAGCTGCGGCTCAGCAGGCCCGGGGGCTGGCAGAAGGGGCCCCACTGCTGCCCCACGCCACAGGCACGCAGGAGCCGCGGCTGCCCCACGCCCCAAGAGTGGGCATCTGCCGGGGCACCGTCACCGCCACGAGCACTGCCTGAGCACCTTAGGCCTCGGGGCTGGTGACCCCCCACGGCCCCATGTCGCCCGCGGGGTTGTGAGCCTGAGACAGGAGCCGAGGCAGGAAGGTCGCCTGCCTATGGGCTGGGCCCTGGGCCCTGCCACCACCCCGCACCTTCCTCTCAGCACCCCACCGCGGCCTTGGAGGACGTCAGCGCAAGGGCCGGGGACAGGACGTGGGTGAAGGCAGCCCCTCTCCACGGGGGGAGCCCGGCTAGGCTGGGACAGAGGGCAGTGGTAACAGGCTCCGCGCAAGCTGCGCACGATCCCCTCTGCTCCAGGGACGGGGAGCGGCCCAGGGCCACGGCCATGGTGGGGGGGGCCTTCAGCTCCTTGGGACACTTCTGAGTCTCCACCTGCCCCGGGAGCCTTTGCCCAAACACCCCCGCCCGCCTGCATCCCGCATGGGGAGGCGTCTCTGGGCCACTGACCGTTACTGTTCGGCCGCCCTCCCTCACCAGGGCCTGAGAACCACGAGGGGGCTGGAGCTGTCTGTAGGCCGGGACCCCTCATCCAAGGACTCCCCGACCTGACGCCCTCCCATGGCCAGGCCCAGCCTGCCCAGCAGGACTCTCCCTGCAGCCCAGGGCGGGCCTCCTCTTGGAGCCCCGCCGAGCACCCCGCTGCAGCTCTGGGCCTCCCCTCATGCCCTGGGTCTGCTTCTTTCCACACCGGACACACGCACTCCAGCGGCGAGCTGGGAGGGCTGGCGGTGAGGACAGAACTGGGAAGGAATCATAGGCGCAAAGCAGGGAGGAAGCCGCAGGCCCAGCACACCGGGGACTGGGAAGGGAACTGCCAGGCGGCCGGGGAGGGAGATCAGGTGCAGCTGGCACCAAGACAGGCCTGGGGACGCCTGCACTGACCAGCGAGTGTGCCCGGCGGTGGCTCTGGCTGCAAAGGGGAGGGAGGGAGCTCCGGCCCGGGATCGGGACGCCCGCTTCCTGCAGGCCCCACCAGGGCCACGCAACACCATGTTTCTAAGAGCTCCATTTTACAGATGAGGACACTGAGGCAGGATTAAGCACCTGCACAAACAGAAACCAGCCAGCCCGGGGCCAGCCGAGTGAAGCGATACACGAGGTTAGAGTCCAGAGGTCACGGCTGAGCAGCTGAGCGGGCAGTCTGCGGGGGTCAGGAGGGAGACGGCTTTAGGGCCACGCAGAAGTCGGGTCACGAGGTATTCGGGGAATATGAACACGCCAACAGGAGTGGGGCTAGCCTGCGTCGGAGACGGGGTGCCCTCGGCTGGGGAGCAGAAGGAAGCGGCCGAGGCTGGGAGGACGAGCCTGCCGGGCAGGACCGGCCAGCTCCTCCTGCCAGTGAGGGCGGCAGAGGGGCTTCCGGGAAAGGCTTCCTCCAAGCCAAGGGGACTCAGGGAGCAAAGCTGCCAGCTCCTCGTTGATGCTGGGGCGGTTCGGGCGTGATGGCTGGAACCGTGCCGCTGGCTGGCGGTCAGAGGAGAGCGCAGGGGCGGCTGGGCTAGCAGCGCAGGAACGGGCCGGGCTGGCGGGGCTGTGGAGACCGGAGCCAAACCCTCGGACGCTCTGGCCACGCCTCTCGTCACAGCAGAGGACACCTCCCTACGTCACTCCTCGTGCTGCAGCCGATGCCCCTCACTAACACGCCTGCGGTGCCCGCTTGAAATGACACCCACAGGGGCCCCGTGTCCTGGGGACACCCGTGCCTCTCCCAGCCCAGTTAGGGCTGCCATGAGCCTGATCTCGGGGAGCACGGAAAACCTCTGATTAGCGCACGGCTGACAACACACTGTCCTGGGGACCCCCCAGGGCCTTCAGCATGTGCCACCGCCCGACACGGGATGCGCCTTCTAGCAGCCGCGGCTGATGTGAGGGCGGGAGGAAGTCGCGGGGCCCCCAGGCCGCCTTGCAGCCCCGGCCCGCAGCCCCAGCCTGCCGCCCCGGCGCGGGCCGTTATCTCCTCAGCCGGAGAAGCTGCTGCAACTAGAGCAGCGAGCACAGACGGAACAGGGAGGCCCCCTCTGCCCCCACGGGGGTGGCCCCGCGGAACCCCTCACTCCAGACCTCCCCTGGCTCCACTAATGATTATGAATGGCAAAGAGCCTGCAATGTAATTGTGAAAGGCAATGACGCAGCGAGCACGTGCTCAGACCCGCACGGAGCAGCATCAGAAACGCCGAGCGTGGGGACGGCGGGCGATAGGCGCTCCGGCTCAGCCCCGCAGCGGAGCGTGCGCGCGGAACTGACAGAGTGCTGTCGGGACAGGGAGGGACCGGTCTCCGCAGGGTGAGCTACAGACGGCTCTCGCCTGCCGCGAGGTCACTCCTGATGGCTGAGGGCCAAGACGCGCGGCCGGGCCGGGGCCACTGCACAGTTGGGCGAAATGAACCCGCAGGCCCCCGCGCCGCCTCTGGGTGCCCTGCCGAGCTGCTCCCCCTCCGCAGCGACTATGCGCCTCTGCGGCCATGGCGGGACACGCGTGTGGGGGGCGGGACGGCCGGGGTGGGGGTCTCGCAGCGCCTCCAGCCTGGACCCGGGGCCACAGGCACTGAGCGTCCCTTGAGTGTCCTGTCGCGTCTTCCATGTCTGAGTGAAAGCTGCACCTTTCAGAACTTCAGTAACGGTGAGGTTTTTCCATAAATATTATGGACGCGACAGGAAAACAGACCAGCTCCTCCTCCACGCCGAAGGGGGGAGACCCCTTCGGCCACACACGGGCTTTCCCACCTCAGCAAGCCTCCCTTCTGCGAGGCCACGCGCCCCCCGCAGGAGGCCCGATCGTGCCCACGGCCCGGGGCCCCAGGGAGCGCTGGGCCGCCAGCGGGGATCCGCCAGGCCGCCGGGAGCGGGAGGCGATCACCCCAAATGTCTTCATTTTTCTCCCTAAGGTTGTTACTTTGACATGAACAAGTGCAACGGAATCGCCAGCACACCCGCAGAGCTCGTTTCACAAAGAAGTTTTTAAGGAATCAAACAAAGGCCGATGCGTTGACGCGCTCACGTCTGGAAGCAGAACCGCCCCGGGGAAGGTCCGTGTGACCTGAAACGGGCCTGGGAGCCAACGGCCTGCGGGCGAGACGGCCTCTCTGGGGGCGAGGAGACCGGCCCCTCCCAGCAGCTGCCCGCGCGGGGTCCCGGTGGCCCAGGCACAGCTGACACCTCAGGCCAAGCCGCCCGCCCGCAGGGAGCCCCAGCCCAGCGGCAGAGCCTCCTTGACGAGCGGGAGACTCGGGACAGCAGAAACGCCCGGGGGAAGCCGGGCAGGAGGGGCGCTGCCAGCTCTCAGGGTTCAGCGCAGCTCCTGGGCGTGGCCTAGGCTCAAACCCAAACGGCTTTCACCTGAGAGCGAGACGCCTGGGCCCTGTGGTTCCCGCCTCAATGCCTCACCCCTCCGCCAACGTCAGCCCTGGACGCGCAGGGGCCACGATGCGGGCCCGGTCACTCACCGAGGCCTGGCTGGAGCTCTCCTGCAGGTCCCACAGCAAGATGTGGTTGTCGGCCAGCGAGATCACCTTCTTCCCGTCTCCCGTCGGCTCCCACATGACGCTGAGGAGGAGAAGGCCCGTGTCAACAGCCGCTCGAGGAGCCCCGGGCACAGCTGGGCGCCTCAGCGTCCTCCAGAGGCCAGTGACTTCCCCGGCAGAAGCCGGCCCCGGCCACCTCTCTGCGTCCACCTGGCGCTGGGCGGTGGTGCCTGGGAGGGGTGCGAGGGTCAGGTGAGGCCTGGAGGGAGTGGCGGGCGGAGAGAGCGTTCACGCCCCTGTGAGGAGAGACGCCATCGCTCTCCTGTCTCCCCCTCAACCCGCCTCTCCCGCCGCTGGCCCTGGGGGAGACCTGAGGGGCTGCTGGGTCTGAGATGTGTCCCTGCCGTGGCCCTCCCCCAACTCCCGGAGCGGCCGAGCCGAATACAAGCCGGCAGGAGAGCGCCTGGGCCTGGAAGGGAGAAGGTCCCTAGGCTCCGGCAACTTCAGCCACGCCTCCCGCCCCGACCAGAGGCACCGGGAGCGACCAGCCGAGGTGAGGCCCTGCCGGCTCATGCCGCCAGCGAGATGGTTGCCAGTGTGGGCTCTGCCTCCCCAGGATGCCCAGAGCCCTCCGGGAGCTGAGCTCCACGCTGGTCCCCCACGCAGCGCACGAGGGCTGGGCTGTGGGGCGCCCCGGGGCTGCTGCTGCTTCCTCGGCGACACGAACCTCACTTGGGGCCACAACCCCTCCCGGCTGTTGTGCCACGACCCCTCCCGGCTCCCCGCACATCTCCACACACGGCCCCGCTTGGCCCCACCCAATGGGGACACCTGCCCCCCGACAGCCGGCGTCAAACCCAAGCACCGCTGGCCCGAGATGTCCCGATTCTGGAGCCCGCGCCTGCGAGGGCAGAGCAGAGTGGCCCAGTGGCCTGGAGCCCATGCCGGGGGCGCGTGGGGTGCTCGGACAGCTGATGGCGATCCAGGGGACACCGTGCAGGAAAGGGGGTGAAGAGCACCCACAGTCCGGGCCTGGCACGCAGGGCACGGAGCCACGGAAGCCTGACGATGCCGCAGAGGGGGCTCCCAGGCAGCCGGGGTCCGGGATATTGGGGTGCCGTGTGGCCGTTTCTGGCCACGTCCCACAGGCCCGGGCAGAGCAGTGCCCCCACCTCCCTTGTACGGATGCCAAGCCCACGTGGGGCTGCACCCCAAAGAGCCGAGTCCAAACCCTGCACCCTGAGGACACTCAGAAACGCTCGCCTTGACGTCGCCTAAACTCGCATCACTTGCGTCTCTGCCGCCAGCGAGGGCGGGAAGTGGGCCCACGAGCCCATGGAGGGCGCCCTGAGCGGATGGAAAGATCCGGCGCCACTGCAGAGGCCGTGGCTGACCACAAGGGCCGGCAGGCCTTGAGCTCGCCAGCTGCTGCCCTGGCTGAGGAAAGGGGAGGCCATCCAAAGTGACTGTCACCCGGAGGGAGAGGACGGCGTGGGCGCCAGTCGGGCCTCTGAGAAGCCCTTCACGGGGAGAGCGCGGCAGCGCCGCCCGCCCACACGGCCCTCTCGGAGCGCGGGTCTCACTCTGGCTGACGGTTTCTTCCTGGTCTAAGCCAGGCTGGGCCTGCTTCTCAGGGGAGACATGGACCCCAGGACGGCCCCCCAGAGCTCAGCCGGGCACAAGGGCAGCCACACCTGTCCTCTGGCCAGGGGAGGCCAAGGGGTAGGGCCAAGCTCGGAGGCCTCTGAAGGAGGGATTCTGGCCGGAGGCTGAAAACTTGAGGGCCTGCCCGAGGTGTGCCCACGCAGGTCTGTGGACGCTCCCACCGCAGAGGCCACGAAGGCCAGAGGAGCCACGGCCTACTCAGGGGACGGGGCAAGCCGGGCCTTGTGGCAAGTCCAAAGCTGGCCTGACGTCTCGGGATGCCAGAGCTCCAACGCCCACCAGCTCTGGTCAGCGCTCTGGCCTCCCCCACTTGGTTTTTTTTTTAAAGATTTATTTATTTATTTATTTGTACAAGCACTGGGTACAGTCAGAAGTGCAGGAAGGTGAGAGAATCCACCAGAGCCAGAGCGGGGAGCAGATCATGCAGAAGGACCGAAGTACACTGCTAAGGGGAGCAGCAGGAGGCAAGAGAAGTCTGTGTGCCATGTGGGACCCTCCTCCGGCGGCCGGGGATCGAACTGGCGCTGTAGAGGCTGTGGGCAGCTTCGCAGCCCAGTGCTCAACCGCTGCGCCACCAGGGAGGCCCTCCCCCACCTGGTTTTAACAGCAGAAAAAAAGATAACCGTGGATAAAAACTCTCACACACAGAGGTACGACCTTCAGCTTTCAAATTTTAGAATTATTTAAACTGCGAGTGTAAGTAATCACAAATAAACCTTAAACCCCAGCCTCCTGCACTATCCCAGCAGACACGCCGCTCACAGCAGAGCGGTCCTGGGGACACCGCTGGGTGGAGAGACGCGCCCCAAGCCACGCACCAACTGGGGCCTGGGAAGGACTGGCCAGCCCGTGCCAGGTTTCCAGATGCAGGAACTTCCTGAGGTAAACTGCAGCCGCATGTCACATTTTGCAATTTCCACACCGTTGTCCCCTTTCTAATACTTAATTTTAATCGTGTGTATGTGGGGAAGGGAGATTTTGACAACCATTCCCCATTTTAGCGGATTCCTTAAACCAACTTCAAAGAGAAAGACTTTTCACACGGCCATGGCCACTAGGTTGCTCCCTCCCTCAGGAAGACGCGAGGTTTTAGGCGTTCCCTGGGGCTTCTTTTAAGAGCTGATGGGCAACTTTTACAGTAAGCCAGGACCTGCGGGAGCAACTTCTGGGGTGAGTTTTAAAAATCTTACACCCAAGTACGTCCAAGTTGGGTAAAACTTAAAGCACCAACATGAAATCTCACAGAGCCTGATTAGATCCCGATGGTGACAGTCACAGCCGCTGAGAGTGACATCTCTGTTGTCAGCAATGAGGGGCCATTAAAGAGGGTCCCCGAAAATGTCCCAGAGGTTTTCTGATGCCTTTGCATGGTGTTAAGGATAACTGTGTATTTCTTTGTAACATTTATCTGAGTCAATTTCTGGTTCTATCATATTAAACTAAAAAGAACAAAAAAAGAAATGAGGGTGACTCTTTTTTCCTATACAGAATACCGTCACACACACACGCTTCATTTCCTTCCTCTCCAAACCACCCCCACTGTGTGCCCCCCCTTTCCTTGCTTCTAGTAATACTCTTAAAGGGCACACCCACTTTCCCAGGAGCTCCGACCTCAAAGAAGAGCCATTTCCCCCCAAAGCTGATTGGGCCAGCTGGTCCTGTGTGTAGCGTCATGGACCCTGACACGGCAGTGGGGAGACATCCGGGCCCTGCCAGGCTCCTGCACGCCTGGCGCATCCTACCATCAGGGCCATGGCTCAGGTGGGGCAGGCCGCCCTGGCAGAACCACCCATCCACCCCCCTCAATGCAACAGGCAGAGGGGAAACAGGGGCGTGAATTACTTTGATTCATTACAAAGACGCTGTGACACCATTAAGGGTGAGCGAGCAGCCGCTGCACCTAACGCACCCGGAGCTGGCATCGGAGACCCACACGCGGGCCAGGCACCAGTCGCCAAGCAGAGCTGAATCAGCTACGGCGTGAAGGCAGAGCCCAAGACCACTGACCCCAGGCCCATCACTTCGTCCACAAACAGAAAGCGCTGACTGAAGTAGCAAACCCACGGGAAGTAAGCTCAGAAAGGAAGCCTTATTATCTGCAAAATGAATAGCTCCCCTATAAAGCATACTTTATTTACCTTTGTCATCCAAAAGGACTAGCATCATCAATGCAAACATTCTCCAAATTTACTCTGATGAAAATGTTCATATCCCCAGCACCTGAAACAACTCCCGAATAATAGCATGATGACCATAAATGGCTCCTTCTGCTCATTCAGCTGGGAGACAATTCTTGGACGACTTGTGGCATTCTGGGGTCAGGCTGTCTAGCTGTAAATCCCATTTAGCCCACTGAAGAATGACTAAGCCTGGCTGCACTGTCCTTCCCCTCTCTGGGTCACAGATATCTGCACAAAAAGGACAGCAACAGTCACCAGTTTCTGGAATCATTGTGCAAAAAGACTAGGTGACTCAGAGGCATGCCTGGTTCACAGTCAAGGCCTGGCGTGGCTACTGTGGTTGCAATTTTTGCTTTTCTCCCACAGGAAGCGGCTGCGCTGTGCCTTGCGCTGTCCTTGGTGCCGCAGGGCAGCCCGCGCGGGGGGGGGGGGGGGGGGCTGCCGCTGTCCTTGGTGCTCGGAACACGGGCTGTACTGACAGGGCGTCTATTCGGCGCTGTCCTTGGTTCTGGCGGAGCAGACCGCGCTGCCGGGGGCTGCCGGCCGCTGTCCTTGGTGCTGAGAGCGCGGCTGCGCTGACAGGGTGTCTGCCGGGCGCTGTCCTTGGTGATGGCGGAGCGCGCTTGTGCATGCAGGGCGGCCAGCTGGGCGCTGTCCTTGGTGCTGAGAGTACAGCCCGCGCTGACAGGGCATCTGCTGCTCGCAAGGTACTGTCCTTGGTGCTGAGGGTGCAACATGTGCTGGCGGAGCGGCCTGCTGGGCGCTGTCCTTGGTGCTGAGTGTACTAACAGGGATGTCCTTGTGTGTTGGCGGTATCTTTGGTACTGACGTTACAGTCTATGGCTGGGATGCTGACTTGGTGCTGTCACTGGTGCTGAGGGTACTGTGTGTCTAACAGACCCATCGTGTGCTGCCCTTGGCACCTGGGTTCAGCCTGTATTGACAGAGCACCTGCTGTGTGCAGGCTGAGGGTACAGCCTTCCCAACATCCCCTGGAAGCAGCTCAGTCTTCACAGAAAAACACAAGAGCATGAAAGAAGACAGGGGAGTGTCAAGAGGTGACACCTGCAGTTAGCATAAAATTGGGTAAAAGGAGAGGCAACCTGGGTGAGGTGGACAATGATTCTCTTGGGAAGGACTCTAGAAGGGCATGATCTCGGGTCAAAAAGCTGAAGCTTATTAACGGGCAGCGGGAGCTAAGTGCTGCAGTGATAGAACAGTCCCCTAAGCTCAGCACGAGCCTGGGCTCCACAATGCAGACCACAGAAAAGCAGGTTCAGGGAGAATTGAAAAGCATACCACACCAACAGCATCAGCACCTTATTCTTAGTATGGACCCCAGCAAACACAGTGAGCACCGTATCCCCAGAGACCTGGCCACAGAACCCACAGAACAGCAGAGGAGCAGAATGGAGACATGATTGAGAAGCATGGTCTAGTGACTTTGAAGTGACCTGCAGCTGCCTTGGAGCAGGACAGCATGAAGACCTGACCTGTAGCCCCACGCCAGGGCTCCCTGGTCTCTGTGGGGATCTGCAGCACAACTACTGGCACCAAGTCCACGAGCACAGATCTTTAGAACCTCTTCCCACCCCCCTATTCTCCCCTAACAGAGTCCTTCCCACAGGGCTGAGCTGGCACACACTGCCCACGAGTGTGCTGATGCAGCGGTCATGACATGGGCCTGTAGGCTGCTCGGGGACAAACAGCAGCTGAGGGAGCCCCACACTGCTCCGCAGGCTGCAGCAACACCTCAAAAGGATGGGAAGTCGTATGGCGTTCCCAGGCGCTCCCTACAACCCCTATGACCAGCGGGTGTGAAACCTTCTAGGAGGAAGCAGATTGGTGATGCCGAGCAAGGCAAAGTCCCTCCTCTGAGTTCATGCCACTTTCACACCCACCAGTGGCTCTGACCCCCTCTGTACAGGCCGCATCCCCAGAGTGACTCTGCCTGCACTGTGTTGTGCTTACCTTCTCCCCTGTCCAGAGCATCTTCTGGAACAAATGTGGTGCACACATACCCAGGCACATGTACACACGCACACACACGCCTGCTGGGGAGATGTGATGGTGCTGGCACTGCAGGGCCCCTGGTGGTGCTGTTGTTCACAGAGCACTCAGCAGCCAGGAGCTGAGGTCCTGGGCACTGTGGGACTCCTCTGTGGCCTGCCTCTGCAGATGTGGGTGTGACAGCCCCGCAGGATGCCACTGGCCTGGTGGCCTGGTTATTCCCCAGCAGTCATGGACTCAACTCCCACGGTTTATAGCACAGAAGCCTCGAGAGCCACTCTCTGCAGGAACCCCTAGCTCTGCCCCGTCACTGCAGCAAGCTCCGCAGCTGGCGAAGGGACCCGGGGTCAGCCCTCAGCTCCGGCTCCAAAGGCCCCCTGCCAAGCACACCCCTCTCCCACTCCCCCAGTAAAAATGACTGACTCCTTCCTCGGGAGCCCAGGGCACACACTCTCCATGGCTCCAGCGTACCACCTGCCTTGCGTCTGGTTAGACATTTAACCTGGCAGGTCTCCCCCCGAGGCCAGGTCCCCCCACCCATCACCTTGGCGTGCCAGAACCCTGACAGGTGTGTGCAGCAGGTGATTAATAAAGGTGTTGAATTAAATTTACTCAGTAGGGTCACCGGACAGAATTGACGGTGGTTCTTTCTCACACACAGGAAAAGCAACGGGAGGATGGGGGCTGGGTGGGGCTCCGGCCTCCCCGGGCACGGCTGGCTCTGTCGGTCACCAGCACGTGGGGCGGGGCGCCGCGGTGCCCACCGCATCGCCGGGCACAGGAGGGGCGGCGCCGATGCAGACGAGGAGGAGATGGGCTTCACACGCGAGCCCAAGGTGAAGAGCTGGGGCCGGGACGGAGGACGCGGGCAGGGAGGGCGGCTGGCGCAGGCGCACTGGCGTCCAGCCGCAGGCGGCTCCCGAGTCTGAAATATGCAGAACCTACCAGGCCGAGCTGCCGCGGGCCGCGTTGTCAAGGTGACAGAGCAGCTCCAGGGTGTGCGCGGTGCTTGATGAATCGTCAGGGGACTCGTGGCTGCCTGGCTCCAGTCCCTTCGGCATCCTCCACACGGCCGCGCACGTCAGGACTCTGCTGTCTGAAGCTAAGCAACAGAGGACAGGGTCAGCGCGGCCTCCCTGGCGGGCCCCTGCGCAGCGCAACCCGGGCCTTCACCTGCTACTCGCTGCGAAACCACCATTCTCTTGTAGGAAAAAATTTAATTTCCTCAAAATCGATTTCCTTCCATGCGACAGTTCTTCAAAATGGGAGCAACGTGGGGAGGGTGCCCTGAAGCTGCCCCCCGAAGGAAGCCACTGCGGCTCAGGCTGGCCCTGCACGGGCTCCCGGGCAGCTCTGCCACAGCGACTCACCGGGCGAGGCCCCTGGCTGGATGCCCCAGGGAAGCAGTGACCCTGGGGACACCAGACCCCAGTCCAGCCCAGGGGAGGGCGTGGGGAGCGAGGGTCCTCAGGCCCAGGCCGGCACAGAGTTGTGAGGCGCGCCTGGTGCCTGGGCAGGGAGCAGCCCCTACTGCACCACCTGGGCCCAGCACCAGCTCCCACACAGCCCCACAAGCTCCTGCCGGTGGCTGCACAGCCCTCTGCAGCCTGGCTCCTCACACTCCCCTGGCACTGCTGGACGCTGCATGTGGGTAAAGAAAATAACTCACATAAAAGAACTGGGGTGATACAGTCACGGGGGGGGCACCCGCATCTGCACCTCTGCCCTTCTAAACAGTTCTTCATAAAGAAAAAGACAAATAAGACCAAAAAACAGATTTACCATTATGTGATAAAATGTAATCTTAGATTCCTAAACTAATCCTTTCGAAATCTGCTTTCCACTTAGTTCTAAACCACACATGTGCTGTCTCCTCATCCACACAGCCGTCAAAGGATGCTGATAAAACAATGGACAGGTTTCAACATTAGATCACCGATCAATGAGAAATAAAGAATATTAAAAATTGATGTGAGAACAAGAAAGCCTCGCCTCACCAGTGGGCTTTCCTGCACCAGGAGTAAGAAAAAAACAGGGGCCTGAAGTTACATTCAGAAGTGCCCGATTTCCTCTCAGTCACCAGGGCCCTCCAGATACCAGCCAGTCGCCACAGAAACGCCGCAGCGAGCACAGCGTCCCAACGCCCGCTGTCAGGTGTCGCCGCCTCGCTGCCATCTCTGCCCGTGAACAAAAGATAAAGAGAAGGATCCGGGTGTTGAGGGAGTTTTTCTGATTCCAAACTCGGGCTCATTTTTTATGCTTCACTGGGACTCTAAAAATATGGAATTGTGCTTAACAAGAATCATATGTAGCACGCACACACATAGATGCATACAGATGCATGTGTGCACACACATGTGTGTACATGTATGTACACACACGGGTGTGCACATATGATGCTAACATGTCCATGTTTAATTATGAAAATGCAGTGGATGATATATTTTCATGCACATGAAAAAAGAACCGTTTTGCTAAAATTTCCATTAGTCTTCTTGTAGAGCCTGTGAGATTGGCAATGGCATGTCTGAAAGCTAGGAGCGAGAGAGTGGGCAGCTATGGAAGTAAGAAACGAACGCCTGAGACACTCACCCAACAGAGGCAGAGATTATATAACCTTCCTAAGTGACAAGAAGCAAAACAAAACAAGAAAAATGCTAATCTGAAGAGTGATAGAAATAATAGCCTGAGAATGCAATTGTGGCTGACTGCAAAATCGGTGAAACTCACGAATGGCAGAAGGGATGTGACCATGCAAATAACTATTATAAGGGAGAAATGACTTATGGCAAATTCCCCACTGAACAAGCTCATTCTTGAAGAATTTTGTTCAGGTGTCAGGACAAGAACTCTCTTTCTGTTACTACCTACCCATCACTTCTCAGCCACGCCTATGATGATTAACCCTGAACAAGACCAAGATGGCTCCATGAACTAAAATTACCCACTCCAACAAGTGCTGCACCGCAAAGTCCATACCACTGCGCAGTAGCACCATTAATTGATGCGCCAGAGTCAAGGAACTTGACACACAGAGAAAGGAATGGAGGACATTCCAGAAAATACAGTTAACCAAATAGTCACTCATCTCAACTTTCATTCCATCCTGAAGCCTCCTAATTTTACTACACAAAGAACTCTGGGGTTCTGTTTTCTTTCTGAAAACATAAACCCATAAGGACAGAAAGAAGGGAATTAGATTCTAGAAGCCGGAAAGCAAATGGACAGTGCCAACTGACTCCTGCACAACACCGAGTCGGAAGACAGGCAGCAGGCACTGGGGAGTGGCCTCGCCGACACGCATCCAGAGGGAAGAAGTGATCACAGATGGGGTGAGTGCTTAAAAAGAAAAATTGATTGAATATTTTTTCCAAAAGCAGTGTAAGAGATGGCACAGACAACATCAGGGAGAAAGGGAACATCGTGACGGATCACACAAGCACTAAAAACACCACATGAAGATGTTATGAATGATTAAATTTCAGACAAAATGGTACAACCCCAGAAAAACCAAAAGCTAGAAGAAATAAAAGCTCAGAACAGACTTATACCTACTAAATAGAGTCTAATATAAAAATTTCCTCCGAAGAACTCATTAAGCCCAGAACACTACACCAATGAGGTTTTCCAAGCATTTAAAGGAAAATAACACCGATCACACAATTCTTCAAGAAAAGAAAAGGAACATAGGAATCCTTCCCCTGATAACAAGAAACACATTAAACAAGAAACACATTAAACGAAGGGGGAAAATCACCATTCATCCCATGAATATAGAAGTAAAAATCCCAAATAAAATATTAGCAAATGAAAACCAACAACTTATAAAAGTAACACTATGTCACTAACAAATTATGCCTATGCTAAGCATATAAGGTTATTTACCATTTGAAAATCAGACAATATAATTTATGACATTAATAAACTAAAAAAAGGTGAATATCACAAAAGATGTAAAAAAAAAGAAAATTGATACAATTCAATGCCCATTCCTGATGATACTCTCGGCAGAGCAAAAAAGAAGAAAACTTACTCTGACAGAGAAACCTACCAAGAAAAAAAGAAGCAAACAAAAGAGGAAGAATCCCGTGGTAGACACAATAGTCGGGTGAGGGTTAAATGTTTCCCCAATAAGAGGAACAAAAGGAAGACGCTTCATATTACCACTCATCAACGTTACGCCAGCACTCCTAACTACTTCAGTATGGCAAGAAAAAAACAAAAGTTTGAGGATAGGAAAAGAAGAAATAAAATGATCTTACTTGTTAATGACCGTGTGCAAAAAATTAAAAAGAAGCTAGATTGTACTATTAGAAGTAAAACCAAATTTAGAAAAATTACTGGACACAGGGATGACATGTAAAATCAATCTACAGGATGGGAAGCTATAGGTTAGCAACATAAACTTAGAAAAATTAAATTTGAAATAATATTAATAATAGCATTAACAAATCAAATATTCAATATCACAAGCTAAAAATATAAAGATTTGTAAATAACAAAACCAAAAGCCCTGCTGAGAGAAAATAAAGACCTACACAGAGAGATATACCATGTTCATGGATTGGATGTTTCAGTGTTGTAAAGACTCCATAAGTCTCAAGTTCCAGATGCCGTGGTTTTTTTTAAGTAGAAATCAAAAATCTGCTTCTGAGGGCCTAAAGTTTTCATGAAACTGTAAACCACCGAGACAGTCATGAAGAAGGACAAAATAAGTGGGTGATTTACAAATCAGGTATCGGTCTTATATTTGTACACAGATAGAAAAATGGTCCAGAGAAAGAAAATGCAGGCTAGAAATGGACCTTACAAAGAGGGCCACCCAATTCACACCAAAGATGCCACTTCACCAGGCTGGACAGAGGACAGTTTCTTCAGTAAGTGGTGTTGGGTCAATTGCACATCCACAGGAAAAATGAACTTGTATCCTGCCTCAGAACACACTCAAAATGAATTCAAGATAGACTAAAGATGAAAATGTGAAAGATAAAATGCTACAAATCTTTTCTAGAATACATAGTAGAATATCCTCACAACCTGGGGAAAAGCACTAACCATAAAGGAACACAAATATAAGAACATACTCGTTAAAACTGAGACCTTGTTTTCACAGAAGGACACCAGACTTTATCAAAATGAAAAACTTACACTCTTGGAAAGGCCCTGTTAAAAAATAAATAAATAAAGCAAAACTGGGAGGGAATATTCATAATACGTATATCTGACAAAGTGTTTGCTTCTAAACTATATAAAGAACTCTTACAATCTAATAAGACTAACAACCCAATTTTTTTAATGAGCAGAAGACTGAATGAGAAAAGAGAACACACCAGACAAGGTGCTCCCCACCGCTAGTAACTGGAGACATGCCAAATGAGATGCACTACACAACTACAAGAATGGCTAAAGTTTAGGTTTTAAAAGGTCAACAATACCAAGTGTCGGCAAAAACGCAGAGCGCCTGGACAGCTCACAGATTGCAGGAAAGAGTGGAAAATAGGACAACATTCTGGAGAACACTTTGGCAAGGGAGCAGCCACCCCAGTGACCTACCAACTCCGCTCTCAGGAGAGGCTGTCATCGGCGTGGTTGTTGACGCTGGCCCCAAATAACAGCCCTGGCCATTGATGGGGTGCAGCTGCCAGAAAGCGGGAGGCAGCAATAATCCTAAGGGCCAGCAAGGCCAGGGTGCTAGCCAAGGCAGGCCAACCGGCCTGGGTAGCACACAGGGAGGGGATACGGTATGCCTAGAAGCAGAACAGATGGGCCGCTGGCAGAGCATGGCCTGCCCGGTGCACACATGCACACGTCCTACACTCAACAGGCAACAGGGGTGAATGAGCAGGAGGCCGGGGAGGTCACCCCACTAAAAGTCACGATCCCTTACCCAGTTCCAGTCTGAGCCAGGCCCCAGGGTGAGGACCCACCCACTAGAGCAAGTACGAACTGCAGGGATGGCCAGGCTGTGCCTGGGGAGGCCCCCGCACTGCCCGCGAGCACATGTGCCATCAAGTGACCACTACTCATCGGGCGTTTCCAGGAATAAGGAACACAATCTGAGACTGAGGGTGACGGCGATCGCCAAGCGCTGACTGCGTCACC